ACTCCATGTATGCCATATATGCCTACATTGGGGTGGTGCCAGGGGGGTCAATGTAGGCATATATGGCATACATGGAGTGTCTGAGATGGATGGTCTGGACTTGAAACACACACCGACTTCGACGCCGCGAGACGCGGCTTCTCGTCCTTCGACCGTTTGGCGCAAGGCTCAGGACTTCAGTGTGGCCCGGGACATCTCAAAGCCTTCCGCCAAGGCCGAACAAAAAACACTGAGCTGGGGTTGAATTCGATAAACTGATCAACTGTTGATGCAATACTCCCCGGTCCTTCACCGGAATTGGTGCAAAGTCTTCGTGTACCGTGTACAGTATTCATCAGAACGTCACAGTTTGGGATGGAGGGCCAAGCACTTTGTCCGCTGATTTCCACTTCCTCCATATGCCATAGGGTCCATATTATTAGGTGGTGAGACTTTTTGGGGGATGAACATGGATCCGCCTACCCTCCGTAAAAACCAACCCTTCCAAAACCTTGGTTCCTCTAAACCATCTCTATTGACCTTTCCACTGCCTTTGAAAGACCCACAGGATCCTTCCCTGTCACAGCGGCCACTTTTCCTTTCTTTGCCTTGTCCTCGTCGGTGGCGGTGTTTTTGTTCCCAAAAGCATCAGGTGCTCTTCACACACAAGAGCGATCCTCCACGCGACATGGTGCTGTTCAGCATCAACTCCAAGGAGACCCACTTCGCCACTCCACGATTGGAGACACTACACGCGACTCCAGTCGTTGGTCACCAGCCACGGTTTTGTGCAGCCGTATCGGTTCCGTTTAGGCGGTGAACCGGTTGGTCGAAGCGATGTGCGCCGATGTGTGGAAAACGGAATTGAAGAGATCGTTGAAGATGGATTCGTTGAAGATGTGGCATGGTATTTCGATGTATTTTGTCCTTGTTCTCGTGAAGATCATTTGCTTTGACTCAAGGAGCAAGTGGCGACGATTCCCCTTTTGAACATTAAGGCCCGCGGTGCGGCGTTTTGCTTTTGCACATCCATATGGGTGTGAGGACTGGGAATAGTTGGTTTGGGTGATTGATTGTTTCTTTATGACATTTTAACTACATTATATATAATATATATGTTTTATTAACTATATGTTTTTTCATGTATCTTCCATAGAATTTTGGGCAGTGGCGATGGACGCAGCACGGTTTGGTGCAGAGAACTTGGCTTTTTGAATAGATTCATCGGTCAAAGGGATGATCCAAGGGCATACCCCACCATCCAATGGATGTCCAATGAAGATCCCGAGGTAGTGTGGGGTAGTCCAGCCAGGCCACCCAGACAGGATGGTCCAGGTACTAATTGGAGTGAAAAACAAATCATTGGAGAGCCAAGTCTTCCTGAAGCCTTGCAGGTGTTCCCTGCTCTTGCACAGCAGTGTTTCTATGTTTGAAAGTCGCTTTCATCGTCAGACATACAGAAGCTTAGATACAGAAACATGGGACTCTCAAGAAGAAATGTCAGTTGTATGACTACTATATAACTCATTCATGTTTCCTAGATTCCTAGGTCCTAGATGCTTTAATATGAACACCAATGGAACCCTCCGAGAGCTGGCCAACTTGGCTAGGCTGAACAGGCTGGGTTTTCGGGAGGGTCGGGTGGGCGCCGCAACGCCGCTCGCGGCGAGGACAACAAGATTGTGCCCGGAACTAAGTTGATGGACCGAGCAAACGTCCTTAGTTTAGTTGTTGTTGTTTTCTTTTCTGCGAAAGGTATATATATATAATATATAGAAAGAGCAATCAATGATCTTGAGATCTCAATGTTCTGGATTTACAATCATGGGGCATGGGGCTGAGTTAAGTAGGATCATGGACCTGTCATTTGACTGGGTTCGACCCAGTAACCAAAGCCTCGCTAGACGATTCACTCACAGTCACTATAGGTCAACACTGTGACTGTGACTCTAAACGAGAGACCTCTTATTCACATCCCTATATCTTTATAAGAGCAGCAGTAAGAACAGCCTATACCCAGGTAACTCATATATATAGTATACATACAATTGTTGTAATGGTAATTGCGTATGCATGTATCATCATCTATCCAGCATTTGGTCGCTGCCAATAAGGTGTGGCACCATCCCCACCGTTTGGGCCCGGAGACCCCAGCGGTTTCACACGGCTTGGCTCCAACGGTTTCGCGCGGGCATGGCGGTGGCAGCTGGGTTTCCGGAGCACGCCCAAAGCTCAAACCATAAAACTGGAAGAAGAGTTACAATCAGTGTATATACTATGTGACCCATACATTCTTGTGGGCCCATCCCCATGTAAATACAGTATTTACATGGGGATGAGACCAATGTATGGGGTACATGCATGTAACTCTTCCAGTCTCATGGATGCTTTGGGATCAAACGCTGCTTCGGATTCGTCCGAAAGCTTTCAGATTCTCACAGGTTCAAGGCCCAGAGAGGCCCGATGCACATGACAGAGCCCTGCATCAGCACAGGCCCATGGGCCAAGTTCCCCTGGCACTATTCAGGGTTTTGCTTGTTTTTTGGCCTTGGTCCAATGGCTAGCGGCTAGTTGGGTGTTTGGAGCCCTAGGGTTTTGTTTCACATCTGCAATGAGCTGTTTGCGACTTTGCTATGCCTCCCGCTGGTTTGCACTCCGTCTCGTCGCGACTTGCGCCACTCCTCAGCGGGTCCTGTGGCGGCGGCGGCTTCAGCGAGGCCATTCCGCATTGGCCCTTGTGGTTCCCCTTCTGCGAGTCGAACAAGTTGCTGCGGCGCTTCTCGCCCTCCAGCCCGGGGTGCCCGGCCTGGAAGATAGAATAGATCAGAGGCAAGTGTCATAGACTATAAGCTGTTTATAGCTGTATATTATTTATATAGGTGTTTTTTTAATTGTTTCAGGTCTTTCAAAGGAGATATTTCTTGCATATATTTGGATTGCTTTGGTGATCAGACGCAAGCAAGCACAATCACAAAGCCTTGATAGCTCAATTTGGGTCGTTGATGCTAGTCCACTTACACACCAAGCAGTTGATGTAGGAACACACAAGTGTCCTGGCTCTAGCTCTAGGGGTTTTACTTCAATAAAAACTCCCATGTGCATGTATTTCTTTGTTTTTGCAAGGATTTGCAAGGCAGAACTTTTGCTGCCTTTGAACTGCCATGAATCTTGAACATGAATTTGTGTTGCAACCCGCCTTTGTCCCTTCCCAGTGAATCTCCGGATGGAATAACTGGATCAAAATGAATGTCGCTCCTTCTTGCAAGCAACATAGAGTATTGACACCACTGCCAGGTATTGCTTTCGCACACCTTTGAGCCCTTTTAGTCGATTGAGGTCTTCGATGTTCTTCACTTCAGACATCCAATCGAAGAATCGATGGGGAGTACCTGCCCCGCCCTGAGGCTTTATCATGAATTGTACCCTCAAGGCCGGGCCGGAGGGACCTGGGGCCCGGATGACCGGGTTGTCCGGTGTTCCCAAAGGATCCCATGGTGGTGCAGATGGCCTGCATTTATTTTGGCTGTAGGTCATATATACATATATACCTAGAACCCATTTGACCTCTGTTTTGTGTTAAGTTGCTTGGGGACCGTCGTTCGTTGTTTCGGGGGAATTAGCGCAGAAGAAGTGTTTTTGACCCTTGCGGACCTCTGAAGAATTGGTTGTTTAGAACTAAGAGAGGGTATAAAACACGTCTTGTTTTTTTGCGCTGTTAGTGGCAACATACGAGACCCAAAGGATTATTTCATAGGTTTGTTTGTCTCGTGAGTGGTGAGTGAACGGCCATGGTAAAAGCTTTGTAGACGTTGTAAACCTTTGTAAATTTGTTTGTAATTCAACAACTCTGTCAACTCTTTGCAAAAGTTGCAAACTTTGTACAAATTCTTAAGACTTTGTGACAGTTTTGTAAACGTTGTACAACTTTGTAAAAATATAAAACTTTGTAAACGTTCTAAAACTTGTGTAAAACGTTGCTCTAACTTTGAAGAATAATTTGAAGAACTCCAAAACTTCGTAAAAGGTTGGTAAACCTTTTTACAAAGTTTGCGAATTTTACAACGTCTTAATAAAGTTTTACCAAGTTCTTACAAAGTTTTACAAGTTTAAAGGCTGACAAAGCTTATAAAGTTTGACAAAGTCTAAAAATGTTTTACAAAGTCTACAAAGTGTTGACAAAGTTTACCAAGTTTATACCAAGTTCACTACGTTTTTACAAAGCTTTCAAAGTTGGTACAAAGTTTACAAAGTTTTACACCGATTTTATGAAGTTTGCAAAGTTTTACAACCGCTTACCAAGTTTACAAAATTTTACAAAGTTTACAATATTTTAACACAGTTTACAAAGTTTTGAACAATTTCCAATTTGTACCCAGTTTACAAAGGTTTTACCATTTAAAAATCAATTAAAGACGTAGTGAAAGTTTTACAATGTTGCTGCAATGTTGACAAAGTTTTTACAAAGTTTACACAGTTTTGCAAAGTATTGAAAGTTTACAAAGCTTGTACAAAGTTTATAAAATTTTTACAAAGATTGCACATTTTACAATTTTTACATGGCGTTTTTACAAAGTGTACAAACATTTGCAAACTTTACACAGTATTTACATAGTTTACAAAGCTTTCACAAAATTTGCAAAGTTTATACAGTTTACACAGTTTTTGCACAGTATTGAAAGTTTACAACGATTTTACAAAGCTTTGGAATTTGACAAAGTTCTTGCAAAGTTCGGAATTTACACAGTTTTTCAATTTTTACAGAGTCTACAAAGTCTCACAAAGTGTTTACAACGTTTTCAAAGTTTTTACAAAGTTTACATCAGCTTTTTCAAGTTTACAAAGCTTTTACACAGTTTACAAAGTTTTTACAAAGTTTACACAAGTTTTTCAAGTTTACAAAGTTTTTACACAGTTTACAAGGTTTTTACAAAGTTTTTACAAAGTTTACAAAAATTTTTCACGTTTGCAAAGTTTTTACAAAGTTTTTATAAAGTTTTTACAAAGTTTACAAATGGCTGGTGAAAAACACTTGTGTTTACAACAAATGACATGAAAAACACTTCTTTTTAAGCAAAAAATCGTGCAAAAACACTTCTTTCACAGAACTTTACAAAGTTTTACAAAGTTTTTACAAAGTTTACATAGTTTACACAGTTTTTACAAAGTTTACAAAGTTTTTACAAAGTTTACAACGTTCTGACAAAGTTTGCGACATTTGCCTTTTGTTACACAAATTTACAAAGTTTTTACAAAGTTTACAAAGTTTTGAAGATTTTGGAAAGTTTACAAAGATTTTGCCAAGTTTACGAAGTCTTGCAAAGTTTACAGAGTTTCGACAAAGTTTACAAAGTTTTGACAACGATTACAAAGTTTTGCTAGTTTATTTATTTGCAAAGTTTACAAAGTTTCTTTCTACATTTTACAAAGTTTTTACAAAGTTTGTACAGTTTCACAATTTGTACAAAGTTTTTAGGAAATTTACAAAGTGTTCAAAGTTTACAAAGTTTTCACAACGTTCACAAGGTCTTTCAACATGTTTACAATGTTTTGACAAAGTTTACGAAGTTTAAAAACGTTTTACAAAGTTTGCAAAGTGTTACGAAGTCTATAACGTCTTTTTTTAAATAGAGTTTACGAAGGCCTACAACATCTAAAAGTTGTTTGCAAAGTTTACAAAATGTTAGTACAAAGTGTACAAAGTTTGCAATGTTTACAAACTTTTTGACAAAGTTCACAAAGTTTTGACAAAGTTTACAAGTGTTTACAAAGTTTTGACAAAGTTTTCGCATTTTACTTTTTTTTACACAAAGTTTTCGCAGTTTTTACACAGTTTTACAAAGTGTACAAAGTTTTTACAAAGGTTTACGAAGTTTAAAGTGTTTCAGTGTTTAAAAAGTTTACAATTTTAACAACAGTTTACGAAGTTTTGACAACGTTTGCAAAATTTTTTCAATCTTTACACAGTTGTTGCAGAGTTTTGAAAGTTTACAAAGTTTTAGAATTTCACCAAAGTTTCTACAAAGCTTACACAGCTTTTACAAATTTACAAAGTATTTACAAAGTTTACAAAGTTCTTACAAAGTTTACAACGTTTTGCAAAGTTTTCAAAGAATAAAGTTTACAAAGTTTTGACACAGATTGAAAAAATCCGAAACTTTGTAGAAAGTTTGTCAGCATCAAAAACTTTTGTAAAAGCTTTGTAAAAACGTTCAAACTCAATAACTTGGTAACAACTTTGTAAAATTCCAAAACTTGTTCAAAGCTTGATAAATGTCCAAAGCTTTGTTCAGATATCTACAGGTTCAATACTTTGTAAAAACTTCGTAGAATTTAATGTACTGTAAGTGTCCAAAGCTTTGTGAAGTGTGTTATTTCTATTTTTAAACTTTGTAGACTTTGTTAAAACTTTGTAATGCAAAAACTCGGTAAAAAATGTAATTCCAACACTTTGTCATTTTTTTGTAAAGATCCAAAACTGTGTAAACACTTTGTAGGAAGTTTGTTTGAAGACCTGCGAAAGCTGTTCAAGAAGAGCTGATCTTTGGATCAGTGAGACTGCTTGCATTTTTATTGTTAAAAGAAAAACGGCATTTGGTGCGGGAATTTGTGACTGATGGCTGTAGTGTTTCAGGGTATTGAGGGTGAGAAGAAGGGTCGAATGGTTATTGGTTGTGGAAGTGTTTTAAGACTTGGCCACGGAAACACCAAAACACTTCTTTCATTTTTTCCAAACAACATTGGTGCAAAACACTTCTTGCGAGCAAAAACACTAAACTCAAGCAACTTAACACTGTTTTGATAGGAAAAGACAATGTTTTGGCTCCAAAACAGGGGTCAATCAGGTTCTAGGTATATATGTACTGTATAAATATATATATATCATAGATTTGTGCCACCAAGGATCATTGGGGCCTTCGTACATGGTTGTGTGGAGACAAGTCTGGGGAAACTCGGGCGAATTTTGGAGGGGATCAAAAAAGAGCCGAACCGGACCCGCAAGAGTTTCCCAACGGAGATTCCAGCCATCAGACGGGAATGAATGTTAATCTGTACCCCATCCGGCTTTATTATGACCCATCCATGTAAAGTATCTAACTCTTACAATCCCCTGGTGGATATCGATGGAATTCTCTCTTTCGCGGTCGCGACAGACTGTAAACAGACTCATCCTCCGTTCGTTGGACCAGCTGCAGATCGCTCCGAGTTCGGACCAGCACCAGCTGAGTCGGGAGACCAACGAACGGAGATCGATGTGGATCGGAACGGTCTCCGGGAGAACGGAGAATGGTCACCGTTTTTGTTCTAAACATGATTCCGGTGCGATCCACGGAGTCGTTGTTAGCTCTACTTGAAACGACCGAACGAGGGCCGAACGAGGGCCGCTGGTTCGCAACTGGCATCCATTCGGGAAAAACCTTTGCAAACCGGGCCGGGACACCCCTGGTGGCAACTTTGGCACTGGCGAGTTGCGTGGTTTTCTGTAGGTGATTGGATATCAGATGTTGCCAGAACCTTCGACGTTTTGAGGTCCCAGATTGAGGTCACTTAGTCCTCCCTATAAGTGTTTATTTGTTTTAACCTTGCTTCCATTACCCTAATGGACAAGAAGAACCGATGATTGGAAGCTTCGGGACGCGGATCCTTCCAGACGTGCCGGGTTCGGGTTCGGCAGGTGCTGTTCCTGCGGATTGACTTTGTGGTCTTGGTGGACATTGCGGACAAGCTTCACACCGAGGAGGCGCCCTGTGGGAACTGCGCCCTGTGGGAACTCGGCCTGGTGTGGCGCGATTGCTCGATCGTCGTGCGGTGAGTCATTGTGAGATCCAGTGAGACGAGTCGGTGACGAGACGCAGCAATTTGAGGTGAGTCGGTGTCGACCTTATGAGAAGTGTTGTTTTGGCGACATGACGTCACAAAGCTCCCGCAGCTACAACATCGTGTGAGCGTTGTCGCCCCACAGGCAGTCCCAGAGGTTACAGGTTGAGCCCATTTTCTTTGATTCCCGCGGTGGGGTGCCAAATGGAAGTCCTTCGGCCCAGCTGAGCTAAGAGCTGATGTGCCAGGAGTGCTTGGAGATCTTGATGCGATCCCCACCTGCAGGTGCGGCATGTCACCAGCGTGAAGCAGAACGGTGTGCATTTGTCACCTGAAGCCGTTGAAGAATCCTTGGGATCGAAGCCAATTTGAAGACTATTGCCTTGGCAAAATACCAGGTCCCTGTCCAAATAGAGACCTATAGAGATTCATGGATCGTTCCATTCACTAGAGATGTCCTCGACTTCCCTTGGAAACTCCTGTTCGCCTTTTTTTTGGGGGGTGGCTTCCATGTCCAAAGACTCCTTCAGAACCAAACCCCCCTTCGCTCGGCGGCATTCCGCCCGCCCTGTGGCGCGCGCGGTCCAGAAGGGTCCGACGACCTGGCTCCCGGCACCTCCCAGGCTCAGAAGGAGAGGAGTGGATGGGCATCACCGTCCCTCCGAAGCAGCTCGAAAGAACACGCCGTGGGTCGAAACCGGTCGAAGAAGGATTCCAGCGCCTCGCTGCCGGAAGTGGCTGGAAGCGCTTGTTCATCGCCAGTTCATCGCCTTTTTTCTGCATTTGGAAGGCAGTTTGAAGTCCCTTCGTTCCAGCTCATAAGCCTCCTTGATTCCTTGCTCCCACCATATCAGGATGATAGTGCGCACGCTTTTTCAGCAATGGACTTGGTAAATGACTTGATAATCAAACCCGCCCGGCGTTGGGCGAGTGGTTCTCATCTCACCGAACTACGGCGGAGTGCAGCGAACAGGAGGAAGGACCAGGGGGCACAGCTTGTATAGGTGGTGCTTTCGGATATTCCTATGTCTATGTTTAAAGCTTTACTTGGGATGATGGGTCACCCACTTCTCACTTCTCACGGAGCCGGGTCACAAATCAATTTGTGATCACAAGCTGGATGGGCAAATGGCTAGACCCAACAGTTGCTTGAAGCGCAAGTGATGCGCTTGGATGAAGCGCTTTTTGTGTGGCACTGTCTCAAAGCCTGGACTTCAGTGAACAGCCTTGTGAAGTCCTATGAAATCTACTGCTAGTGGTTTGGCCACTAGACTTGGAGTATGTTCCAAACCAAAGGAGAATCATTCCCATGCACTCCATGAACTGATCGGTTTAAACATGTTTAAAACATGTTCAAGAAGGGGTCCAAGGTAAGCATCTATGCCTGTTCAGAGTCTGACTTCGCAGCTCCTCCTTCATCCCTGCATGGCATCGAACCCAGGTGCGGCTCCTTGCCGCGCATTTGCATCCGCGAGTCTCGCTTGAAGATGCGGCCGACGGCATCCGATCAGGCCCAGCTGGGATCCGATGGATCGATCGGTGGACGGGATGCAGTCGCAGCGGTCCGGTTTTGGTTCCTGTTTTGGCGAAGACTGCGGAGGGTGGATGAAATGGGGTGGATCGGTGTGGATTCATTTTGACATGATTGAACATCCGTTTTGGATCGTTTTGGATATTTGTTTCTTTGTGTGTGTGTGTGTTCTGTTTTCCTGGCAGGGATGGCATGGTATAACGTCATTTCCTGATCTCCCAGTTACACCTTTTTTGCATTACAATCAGTTGCAGTGTGGTCACATGGATGCAAACGATGTGAGTATCATGAACGTGCTCGCTGTTTATATATATATATATATTTATATACACTCACTGGGAGGTTCCAAACATAGCAGATGGACATCAGCTGGCTTGGAACTGGCATCAACTCGCAAGCGAAAAACCAGCGTGGCCCGACAGACGGAGCCGTCGTCGTTTCCAACAAACGCTCGTCGCTGCGCTGCGCAGTTTCAATGCGACTTGCAGCTGGAGATGGATGACCCAGCACAAGCGCCCACCTGGGCCTACACCTAAGACCCGGCGTCGTGCCGTGGGGAAAAGCCTGGAAGAACAACATGTTTTTTTTTCACTGATGGTTAGCAGCTGCCTTAGCACTCCTTATGATTTTTTCTTTTTTTTTACATGTTCCACTTTCTCCTTCGCCCCAAAAGGATCTCCACAGTGGTACTCCAGTGGCGTTCCAAACCCTAGCTCGCTCGCTGAGGCAAAGGTCTTTGTTTTTCAACAATTGGGCCTGAGGCGACGGTTGGCCACAGCTGCCAGTGGAAGATGTGTTTGGGGGTGGAAGATCTTTTTCATGTCCGGTCTGATGAAGAAAGTCGTTCAGAGATAGGGCCTTCATAGGGTGTTTCTTTTGATTGGAAAAAATTGGCTTCTGGGATGTGTTTGCTTCTTGTTGCATTTATCTTTGCAACTGACTTTTGGAGTTCTAGATAGCACTTGAGCATCGCTCCGGAGGATCATCCCCGAGATGTGCAAGTTTCAGCCGAAGATTCCAGGCGCTCTGATCGTTGTTCATCACTCAAATGATGGACTCGAGTTGGAGATTTAGCTGGGAAGGAGATATCGATCCATGCTTGGAGGGCGATTGGTAATTTTTGAGGTATCATATGTTATTATATTGTGTATTAGACCCAGAATATGTTTGGCTGGGCACTGGGTGTGTGCACCACATGACACTCTTGGAAGTATCTCATCTTCTTTGTATGCCGTATAATATATTATATATATAGTTATAAAGTTATAACCATGCATTATGCAATACATATGCAATATACGGCTTGTACAGCCAAGGAGCTGGCGCCGAGTCGTGTGTACGACCTCCGGTCGTCGGACGGCGGTCCGTCCGGACGGTCGCACAGGGTGGTGCAGAAACGGTGACTGGAGATGGGGCAAAGAGGTGATCCATCGGAACCAAAGTGGTTGGTTGTGTAGCATGCACGCGTGTCCTTACCACACTCAAAGTAATTAATTATGTGTGTTTCTCTGGATGGATCAGTCATGCCAGGATCGCTATTGGAGCATATTGGAGCGGCTTTTGGAGTTTAGTTCCGATTGTGTAGGCTTTGTCAAAGAGCTTTGATGTGTTGTTTGAAAGATGCTGAAAGTCACTCTTGGAAGCAGATCAAAAACATACACGACACAAGACTGCAGTCAAAGACGTTTAATCCCTCCAGAACTTAGTTTCTGAAAACCTTTGGCTTTCATAGTTTGTATCCACTGCATTCAGTTCTCAGCACCCTAAATCGACGCGAGCCGGAACTCTGGATTTGTTTGGCAAACTCCACTGGAGAGGCTCTCCTTTGGACACCTATCTGAACGGAAGCGACAAGAAGGACATGGAAGGCGCTAGCATCTCCCACGATGCGGCGATGCGGGTTGCAGAGCTACTCGGAAGTTGAAGTGGATTGTTCAGACCAACATGTAACATGTATCATCATGTATCCTTGCACTGTTGGTTGTGGAGAACTGATGGTGACCCGTTTCTAAATTCCCTGATGGTACCCTTCTGAAAGGGGCCACATCGACAAGAAAGGATATCTTGTACATCATCGGCAATATATCAGATCAACCTCAGACAACTATCGCTGATGTGACCACAGGGCTATGAAACGTTTCCAACCGCGCCGTAGCGCTACCTTGGGTTAACCGCAACGGACGTACCGGGACTCCATGGGGTTAGAAATACTGACTGTAAAGCACAGAAACAGAATGAAAGAACTATTTTTCTTGAATCATTTTATTTGGAAGATCCCTCAAACATGTCCTTCCGGGAAGCTCTTGCGCGACGTGTGCAGGGGAGATGATTCCACCGGAGGGCTTGGAGTACATTCGCCAAATGCACCCTTGCCGGCAAAAAGTGCGAAACAGCCAGGAGTTCCATGTCGGGATGGTGTTTTAGACCCATCCAGTGGGTGTGATGGTTCCATACCTCGGCACCTCCGACACCCCAACCTGGGACTGCTGGAGGGGATTTCTGGCTGTGACACCCAAAAGATCCAAACATCCTGAGAATTGATGGATTAGCGGCCTGCAGTGTGATGCTCACCACCTATAGAGGGTGCCCAATAGTTAAGGTGGTTTATAGACCCCCTCTTCTAACCATGCAGACTACCCTCCAATTCACCCACTGAAAGCACAACATCACGGAGGCCAAGCCCATTTTTCGTGACCTGGATGCAGAAAACATCAGAAAACTGTGTAGCTATTGGTTGATACCAATAGCTAGATATAGCTAGCCATCTAACTGTTCCAGCCTTCCGATCCAGGTTGTAGTCCATTCCTAGTGGTTGTAGCTCCATTACGGTCCGAACGTCGGACCAGACGATGTAGCCACCTTCGGTGCCACGGAGCTCCACGGCTCCGTGGATGGCACGTGGATGGCATCCGTGGATGGCCCGGTGAAGGAACATGGTGGAACCTATCTACTAATCTACTCAAGGAGGGAGCAGCATAGGGAGCGGTTTTTTCAGGTTTGCCGAAGTCTCACCGAGCAACTGAAACATACTGAAACGGTTTCAAGCTGAACAACATCGATCTATATAAATCTAAGACCCCATCCAGAGGCCTACCCCGTCAGTGGAGAACCTTTCTCCCACTAAGCAACAACACGCGGAAGCAGTCTCAGTATAACCAGTATAACCTCGTTCCCAGAGGCCGGCTCGGCTTCAGTCGGGAGGATCAACCTACCTTGTGGCTCGAGAGATCGATCCGAACCGTTCGATGGCAACCGTTCGATGATCCTTCGAACGGCACTTCGAACGGAACCCTCGGAGCTTCGATCGGAGCGAAGCCGGAGGGTCCCATCACCGCTCAGTTGGAGGGTTCGAGGTGCCGGAGGTGCCACTCGTCCCCATCTTCGATCCACTCCACATGGCCCAGGGACGAGTCCATCCGAAAGTACCATGCCGGGCGCTCTCTGAAGCAAGGCGCAGCGCTTCAGGGTGCAGAGGGCGCAGCTGTTGCGCAAGATGATCTAAGATGAGGGGAAGACCTGTGTTATGCAGTATACAGTGATACGTTAAGTTATAAAGTTATACAGTATTTATTCATCTCTGTATATTAGATATACACTTGAGTTTGGGTGTTTATGGAGATTCATAAGTGTAGGGTAGTTCATTGGTGATCTCGGAAGCTGGAAGGTCGTGGTGACTACATGGTTCAAGACTGACTGTGGGGTTTGATAGATTGCATTGACAATTGACAGGTAGTTTCTGCTGTGTTTGCCTTCCACTTGGTGCGACCTATGGACTTCTTAGGGTGAAGAAGGCTCGTCTTCAGGAGTTCACGCATTAATATCATTAATTAATTCATACAAGTACTATACAACAAGATATACAACCTTGCTTATTGGAACATATACTGCAGAGAATCATGACCACAGGGCCTTTAGGGGTGCGACCATGATGTAGATCAATCAGTCGTGTCGTGTGGGTTAACGTTGGGTCGGTTTACTGTGAGGCCATGAATGCTGGTCAGGTCAGCGTTGGCCTGTCTCAACCGTTTTGAGGCAAAAAAGAGCGACTGGCAACGACACCTCAATTAGATTGTTTTTTCTTTGACAAGCCAAGCATCCAATTCCTGAAAAGCAACCCATTGGTGAGTCATTGCCCTGTTTACCGGCACCATCCAAATGGGAGCCATGGGGCAGTGGATGCGTACATGGTCGCTGGTGGTGCCCCACTGCGCTTGTAGCTTGATGGCACTGCGTCGACGCCAGGCACGTCCAAGTCTTCTGGGAGGTCGCATAGCTTCAGCAACAGCAAGAAAGTGCTTCAGGACCCCACCGCTCGCCTCTAGACACCACGGGGGGCGGCTGGCGAGCGGCTGGCGCGGTGCGGCCTGGTTACGCTTGGTTGGAGGGTTGGGGTGGGCAGGAAAACCAGAGAAGCTCCCAACAAATGCGGAAGACTGACCCCAAGCGACTGACCCCAAGAAACATTGAATTGAAGGCAAAACAGCTAAATCCAAGATGGTTCTGCCCGGGAACCCATCCCCTCTCCTTTGCAGGAACTGGGCGAATTGTGAGACGGGCAAGGCCAGGGACTCAGTCGATGTTGGGCATTCAGAGGTTGAGAGACCTTGTGGAACATAGTGGAACCATGTGGAACCCGTTTGTCGTGGTACATCATGTAGACTCTGATTCATGAACCCCTCAATTGAAAAACCTCTTCATCAAGAGTCTGCATGATTGGATACGCTCGGATGGGCTCTTGGGTCAACTCCACCAGCATCCCACGGATTCGACCGCCTTCCGTTCGAAGGGCGGACTGGAGGTGGACCTGAACGCAGCAGATCAATGAAGACCGGTCAAACATGATCAAAACTATAAAGTACTTAGATAGGACCTGTGGCATGCTGTGGCGTTTTCTCCTAAGGTTCCTCATACGAAACTTGGGCGGGTGTAAGCCCCCACGTGAGGATCCCTGGAGCCATGTCCACTGGTTTTCCCTTCAAGGATGGATTCCCTGCACAGCGCGGACTCAGACCATCCAAGACCTGCTGTATTTGTTTTGTGTTTGCTTCGATTGGTTTTCCCCAAAAGAAAACTGTGGACATGGAACTCCTTTCGCTGCAGGAATCCACATGGTGTAGCTTCCAAGCTCGCGGAAATTCGATGGGTCAAACATGCATTTGTTGTAGTGCCAGGATCAGTTGTCACACGTTCTACGGATTGCTCAAAGGATTTGCGAGAGATGTGACCCATCCAGATCATCCATGTATGGAACAATTAGACTCCTGATTAACAACCTCCCCCCAAAAAATAGTAAACCCTTTTTGCGGCTTGGGGTGGTTATTCATCAAGAGTTTGCAGTTCCCTACATTGGGCCCAGGTCATCAATGTTTGGTCAATGTACGTCACTGTTTTATACCTGGATGATCTGATTGATGGAAGGTTTGCACCACGTGGATTCCTCCGGGCTCACGGGCCATTGTGCGACAGACGGACAGGGCAGGTCCAGAGCGGGCAGAGAAAATCGCACGCAGCGATTGACTTGGGAGTATAGTGAACCGCGAGCCTGGAGGGAAAAAAGAACGTCCCTCACCTACCTGGAGGATCCTGTCATCCTCCCGTCTTTACTTCCACTCGAGCACCCGCTGAACGCATGAAGATGAACGCAAGCTATCGAAGGCCCTATCCCATTCTGACCAAAGCTCGACCTAAGCCAGCCTAGCCTAGTTCACTTCAAGGAGAGTGTAGGTATACTACCAACCAGCAAGGAAAAATCATTTGGATGCCCGATTGCTTGCCCCGGAAGTGTCGGCGCTGAGAATAGAAGATCGATTGGAGAGAAACCAAGAGACATCATTTGGGCATGGATCAGGATAGGGACACCCCTGAAGAACCGCCAACATGGTGGGTTTCTGGGAATCAGTTGGCCCATTGTGGGGAATTCCCTGTCAAGAATCATACCCATTTGACCTTAGTCTGTCCAACGGCACGAAGTGCGTTGAAGAAAGAAAGCTGCTGCCCTGCAACCTGGCACTGATTTTGGCATGTGTGTGACAATTCCATCAAATTCCAATTGCAGATATATCATTACAGTATTAGCATGCATTACGTAGCAATTAAAGCAGTTCATAGAGCTGTTCAAGAACCCTTTGACACATGGTTTGTGATCAAACATAACTGTTCCTTTCATTGCCTCCAACGAAACAAATATTTCGATACCACGGGAGTTTTTTGGATACTTGGCACTCAGAGAAACCCGCCCCATCAATTTGTGCCCCCCCCCCTCGGCTAAGCTGCGATGTTCTTCGACGGGGAATCCACTGACTCACCCGTCGGCCTCCAGAGTTCTCCAAAGATGTTTGGGATCAAAGAATCGACCAAAGTGTACCACCAATACCCAGACACTCCATGGGACTGCCATATATGCCTACATTGGGGTGGTGCCAGGGGGGTCAATGTAAGCATATATGGCATACATGGAGTGTACCACCAATAGGTAAATGGCACAAACCGACCACTCGATTCTTCCCAAGACAGGACATCACTGTCACAGTGGATTCGCAGTCCTTTTTGGAGGGCCGCCAGGATGCTGGGGAAGCAGGCGTAGGGCTCAGACTCACATGGAAACTGTGATGCTGGGCCCCCTGTACTCTTCGTTGTAGGTCTTTTTGCACGAAGAGGCTGAGACCATTCGGTCACCGTGGCCACCGACCACGGGGTGAGTCGGAGCATGACTGGTGGACCGACGGACGGTTCAGTACGTGACCGAAGTACGGAGACCGAAGCCTATGTGACCGAAGTAGGTCACCTACTGAAGGTGGTGTTGTCATGTGTAATAGATGCATGTTGTTTCAGATGCACCCTCCCCATCCTCCAGTTCTCTTCAGATCTAAGAGATCACCTAGTTCTGTGGTTTCAGAGGCGAGAAATTGCACAATCCCCAAGTTTGGTGGTTTATATGGACCCCCATCTGTCAAAGACATCTCTGGGTAGTGCCATCTACTCCGAAGCTACTGTATATTGACCTGCAGAAGGGTTTATAAACCACAAAGGGGTCGTTCATGAACACCTAACTTCTTCTCGAGGCGAGGAAGACGGACACACCACCCAGGTCACGGGGTCCGCCACGCCCAACCCCCTGGGACCCAAGCGAAAACCACGACACAGACGGGAAATCATCATGCGGATACCTGCCTCTACAAGACTCTACTTCTGGACTCCTGTGACCATTTGGAGTGAGATCATGTGAGTCCAAACTGCATGATTTTGCAGAGTTCATGTGAGGGATCGGGCATCAGATGTTTTGGTGTTCTGGTGTACGTTCATGCGTATAGTGATTACGGTGCTGAGTTTACTTGTTGAACAGCCTGAAACACTTGTGACGATAAGAAGAATGCCAGCCAGGTCATATTGTCCATCAATATGTATTTTTCTTCAAGGGCTCCGCATGTTTCCATAAGTGACGATCAACTCGTTTGCCGGCTGATTCTGCTACTGATTTCTGGTGTTTTTTGTCTCAGCCCATTTCTGTGCTAGCTAGGTTTTGTGGGTTGCAGACAGCAACCACCTGCCACAAGTTGCGCCCGAGTTCGCGTCACCTTTGCTTTTGCTCATGTCGGGTGTGGCAGGTTGCAGTTTGGTGGACTCAGATGGCCTAAGGGACTGAGAAGGAAGAAGGGGCTAGAATGAGCGGGCCAAGAACAACGGTCCCGTTGATTCTTTTCAAGTGGGTGATATAATTACTCCGTTGTTGGGGATATCCTAGTTGTGCCATCCTATTTGACATCGGTGTAGAGGATTGTTGTCATGGAGGATGAGCCTTAAACCCAACTTGGATAAACTATTGTGAGAGTGACCAGCTATTGTTGGACAAGTTCTCACCAAATTTGAAGCCTAGAAATCCTACATCAAATCCATTCGATGGGGTATTTTCTGCTGTTTTGGATGATATGCAATAGACTTGTTTGTTGTCTATCAACAGAGCGTCAGAAGGTTTGTTTGACGTCCTAGACTCTTCAATTTAAGCAATGGTCCTTGCCATGCAGTCCTGTTCACACTCATTCCAAGACGAGGCACGAGGCTCGATGAAGCCAGGCTGCAGCCGACTGACGCACTTCTCGAGTCGTGAGAACTGACGCTTTTCCCAGCGCAACGATTCCAGCTTTCCGATCGCTTTACGGGCGCTGGCCCGGCACCTGCGTGGCCGTGCACGTAACAGCGCGTCCGGATCCTCCCTCTCCTTCGTGCAAGCAGCTGTTGGACTTGGATGGAGTGAAACATGTTAAAAGAGGAAGATGGTCATCCAGCAACTCTTCCTCTTTAGGTAAGGTAAGGTCATTATAGGTTTAACAGAGATGGCATGTTTCTTGAGCAAACATGACACATGGAACAGTGACATACACTCCTGGAAGAATTATGGTGTCCACGATCTTACAAGCATTACCCTCTTTCAGGAAGATTATGACATCCGAAGACCCAACAGGTGGTGCCATCCACTTCCACGATGTTTCTGTTTTTTGTTCAATGAGTGTAGAAGAACTTGCTATCGACGCAATTCCTTGCTGTTGTTTTTGTTGATAGCTTTTGCGGGCCCAAGTCCAAGCCCATGAACCGAGAGACGAGGTCGTCGATGGCAGGAGAGTTCGAGTCCGCTTGGCACCAAAAGATAGGACAAAAATTGTTGTTTGTTTCACACTGGAGAGACCTACAAACATCATCAAACATCTACAAACCCACCAATCGATCTATAAGATCTACGTTGTTCTGTCGCGGCGGTGGGTAGGCAGAAAAAAGACTCGGGCTTTTTCTTCGTTCAGCCATCGCTCTCTCTCTCGCGCGGTTGATGGGGGTCTTCTTTAATTCGGCCACGTTAGGGAGCGAGCCCCTCGCACCATCCGCTCGTCGCGTCGCCCGTCGGCGTTCGTCCATGTGACGCGTCGAGGCGCGCGAGACGACAAGCGGATCGATCGATCGGCCAAGCCGACGCAGCAAGCACGAAGCACCAACGGCACCAACGGCAAAGAGGCTTGGAACATAGATGATCCCTACTGGGAAAAGAGGCTTTGAAACCTGGATTTCCATGTTGGAAGAGTCAACTCTTCAGTTCGAAGACCCGCTCGATGTGGTGCACCGCTTGGACTTTTGATTGGAAAAGCGTGGCGAAAATCAGTTCCATCGACTGGCAGCGGCGTGCTCAGGTGCTCTGAGAGTGATGTTTGGAGCCAGTTTTCTCGTGGAGCTTTGATTGCAGGATAGATGAAATTATATAACTATATATATGCATAGATAAGTAAGTCGAGGATCAATGGAGATCAGCTTCCAAGTCATCTAGCTGATCATGTAAGACATCATGAAGACATCAGGCGGTGGGTCATTCCAGAATGGCCCCAAAGTATACGGCGTATATCCACCACCATAAGGTGGCATGTTGTTTTTTGCAATGTGCTTTCTGATTATTGTGGCCCCCGACCTCCAAAGTACATCAAAGATAAAGTACAAAGGAACTTTCACTGCCCACATGGTGCAATCACAGAACCACACCTGCAGCGAAACGCCTGGTGGAATGAACCACACCTGGAGCCCCTCGAAAACCCGTAGACGTTGACCTCCCCAGGTCGTCTTCGTCGTCTACTCCGTTTGGTAGTGCCATGACCCTCACCATCCCTCACCCATTGGTCCAGAACGCAGTGGTTTTTGTTCTGCCTCTCGCTCGTTCTTGGGTGGGCCCAAAGAACAAGAGTTTTACTAGACAATGTCATTAAAAGACTAAAGACAAATGCGTTCGTTTTTGTTTGTATGCCCCTTTTGATGAATTGTTGCCTTTGGCAGCCACTCTTCGTTGGGAATTCCAGTTCGGGCCTGGGGCGACCCGCGGGGCAGTCTGCCAGGCACACTGGTTCTACTTGGATGAGATTGCCTCTCGGATCCTCACCAGTTGGGTACAAGAAGGGTTTCTCAGGGTGGGATTCTTGTGCTCAGAGCCAATCCCAAGCAAAATCCTGAGAAGCGGATCTGGTATTGGAGCCTGGGATCTGTGGAGCCGATGAATCCCAACCGGTTTTGGCATTGGAGATCCACTGGTCCCGATAAAAAGGTGGGTCCGAGGAGGAAACAGAGCGAAAGGCACGGCTGGAGGTCTCGTGGAGGGTTAGACCCCCTGTCATAGAAAAGTCGATTCCCACTCAAGATCTATTGGAAACCGTGCCGTGCCACTGTCTATTTGGGGATCACATATAGAAGATGACCCAAGTTCTGGGCCGCCACTGGGCGGCCCGCTTGGGCGCTCGCTCACTCGCTCTTTTGCCCGAGCGAGCTCGCCGTCACAGGTGGAACATGAGAAAGGTTCCTATCCTGCCTTGGATGTATTCGCCTTTGTGGAGCTCTTAGCGGAGACCAAGGAGGTGAGGGTCGCAAACAAGACTTCCATTTGATTCCCTGTAGAACTCGAAGAATGCTCTAGACCCACATGAGACCTTCAGAGCCCCATAAGGGGTCTACTCCTAAACTACCCGTATACAGGTGAAACCATCAGCGGAGGATCTAAGACACACCATGGCCGCAATGGACTATATAGGAGCCTTTCTTCAGAATTGAGCACAGCATTTGCTCCAGCAGGGTCAGTTTGGGTCTTCTTGGCAAATGACTTGAAAGCCGTGGCACCGCCACATGCGCTTCGCATGCGCTTCGCTGCGTGCAGGTCTTGCGGTCGCTGCGCCACCCCGACGAGTGGGTCGAGCTCTATCGTCGGTGGAGCAGCTGGGAACATCGATCAATCCACATCCACCGCAGCCACCGCAGCGGATTGACGGTGATAGCATGGGATAGATCATATGGAGGTGATATCATCCATCATATGTATTCATATGTGATATGTTAACGGATATGATATCAACGAAGCTTTCACCTTCTCGTCCCCAAAACGATTGGTGCATGAAGCTCCATGAGGAGCCTCTAATTCAAATCCACTCAGGTGATCGGCGGATGTCCAAGGGCCGCGCGGGGGCGGTGATCTTCGATGGCAGGTGCATCGAGAAACACCGGGGTCTTTGTGTGCGGAAAGACATGTTTTTCATTTGTTGTTCATAACATATCTTTAAAGATGTTGAAGGGGTAGAATGGGGTAGATATGTCTTTTTGCAGGGTTTTGGATATATATATAGTCTATAGTTTGAAAGAACATGAATAAATATAAGTTTGCACCGGGATTCAGTGATAATTGTGTGAGATCAGGTGAAATCCAACACATGTCAACCTCTTAAATCTGTATACCACTTGGCTGTCTTATTTTTGTCGCTCAGATCTTCCATAAGATCATCGTCGCATTTGTTGTGCCCTAAAAGACCTACGCAACATCTCGTGTGCATAGCCTTAAAACAAATCCGGCTCCCTATTCGGTGGGTATAATGGATGGTCCACAGATCAAGGGGCGCCTGTGTGCCAGTCACACGGCCGACGGATGCGCAGGACATGTCTGCTAAGAGCGAAATCGTTGGAGACGTAAGAGATGGTCCCAAAACCTTTCGAGACATACAATCAGCATGAAGAATCTACAATTCAGATTTCCTGCCAGCGGTTGGCCCTTTTGCCATTGCAGTACAGGAGATTTCTTTCCTTTGGCGCGTACACGCGGCCGCGAGGCTGGAGAGCATCTTGATGGTGCAGTCCTTTCGCGGTTCCTTTTCCTTTCCTGCTGGGAAGCTGGAAGATGATGAGACAGAGGCAGAGGGGCGCAGCGAAGGGGCGAATGACCCGCCAAACATTGCTTTTTCGGGGTGAAGCCCTTCGGCGGTCTTCGGCGGATCGGCAGGTGGAGTGTGCCATCCGTGAAGTGCAAGAGGAGTTGGGCATGGATCTCTCGCAGCTCCTCAACGAAAGGCCCTTCGGATCAGAATTGAGATGCGACATATTTTCAGGATCGCGTGGTGGTTGCGAGAGATCCCGGTCCGGATTGATGGGAGGGATTGGAAGGATTTTGTTGACATAAGACCCCGGTTTCGATGGGTTGAGACGTGATCGTTTGGAAAAACAATGCCTAGGGATGCCTACTTTCAGAGGCAAACGGAAGGGTAGTGCACAGAAAGGGTTTTGCAAAAACCAATTCTACTAACATCGTGGAAGGCGCGGGACATTCGTAGAACCCAAGGCTATTCGTGGACGGTTCGCGGAATGGTGGGCCAGTAGGAGAACTGACTGCAACGAAATCCCAGAAACCTTCGCAGAACTTCGTGGAAGGTATTTTTGATGCACTAACTTCGTACAAGCGATTTTTGCTGACCCCCTTTCTCCACACACCCTCCATTTAGCCTTCATACTTGTACGTAGTACTAGACTCTTCGTGATGCCTATCGTTCTATAGTGAAGCCTACTTGTAATGGTGCCAAGTGAGGCCGTGTGTAGACTCTTATAACCGATGCAATTGCCCGGAAACGGCCGATCACAGACCTCTGATCTGTGGCAGAGATTCGAAGGGACTTTGCACCAGGGCAGAGACAATAGGCTTTTCTGCACCAGGAAAGTGGATTTCCTCAAAGGACGGTTGGATGAATGATGGATGTGAGCCCATATAGTGGCCAGCTAAGAAACATCATGCAGATTCCTCAGGTTGTAATTGAATGCCGTGCCAATTCAGTTTGTTTGGGTGATTGTACTGCGTTGGCCGAACCGCGCAGGTCATTTGAACATCCACGTGAGTCAGAAAGGTATCAGAAAGGTCGGGTACAGATGTCCCGTGTGACCAGATAATACTGTGTTTATAATGATTTTCCTTTGCTTTTGTTGTGAGGTCCCCTTTGTCGTTGCAGCTTGTTCAGCTGATTTTGCCCCTGTGACCTGGCGCAAACCATCCAAAAGCAACGCAGCTGGTCCGGTCCTTTTGGTCTCCGGTGGTGCTGTGGTCGGCTCGCGGCGAGGCAGCATGTGAAGGCGATCTTGTCGGACAAAGAGCGACGGATACCCATGACATTGCTACTTCGACCGGATCGGGCTCGAGAGAAGAGAAGGGTCGAGCAGATCAGCTTTCTGGATAGAGAAGGGTCAGAAGGGCAGCATATCTTAAGAGATATGGGAGCGCCCCTTGCAGATATGGGAGCTCCAAATTTAAGGCGCCTTTCATGGCAATTGTACATGTGATGAGGTTTGTCATCTCGACGCCTGAGAAGGTGCAGGTGAAGCCCAGCACGAAGAAGGCGCTGTATCTGAAGATGTGCTACAAAGAAGGTCTTTCGTTTGAAGAAAGGATCAGTCTTCCAACCGGCAGAATCCAAGATATATGCTTAGCATAATCTTGTAGATGGAGTTTCTGCCTGTCACAGCCTGACAGCCACAAAAAGCTGCCAGTTACCTCACCTGCCCCCAAACCTCACCTGCCCCCAGTCCAGGCCCCACCTGCCACCCTCGACCTGGCCCCACCTCTCGACCTGCACCGCTTCCTTCAGGAGATTCAGAAGATCGCATGGATCCATGTGACGAAATTACCCGGCTGGACCGCTCCTCGGCTCCGATATGGACCGATATGGACCGATGGGAGTCCCTTCACGTGGGTCCGGTCCGTTCGGCGTCGCGATGAGCTGCTGAGCTGCTGAATAGGATGGCACCCTACTTTCTCTTTCAAATGTCTGATGGCACCCGGAAAAGTCATGTGATTTTAGACATAGAACTGTTTCCAAGCTTCACCAAGCAGACTAGGAATGGATCCACATTGATATACCAAGTGTCTGCCAACTATTTCTTGGAGTCATTGTCCAGGCCTTCCAAGTGTATCACACCCAAACACCATCTTCGGGTATGGGGATCTTGAGGGCCGTCTCAGGCTGAGGCTGAGGTGTGGAATTTTCTGGCGCTCGGTGGGCTGATCAATCAACATTGAAACCTGATGAAACTGGGTTGAAATGAACGAGCTGATGAAAAGCACCCACACCTAAGTGTTTATTCATTTATTATCCTTTCAACTAGACTTCAACAGTTCAATGGAACTCTTCTCCTTCAAGTCGATAACCATTGAACTCTTGGATAGATCAGCAATCCATTTCAACCAAGTTAGAAGAGTTGGGGTCCTGGTTTGATCCTCGGATCGTGGTGCCCCCAGACTTCTACAACCAGCTCCAAGCTGCGGTTCTTCAACGTGGAGCCTTTCATCCCCGAGCTCAAGAGCCTCGGCTGCCAGCCAAGCGCGACCACATGCCTGGTTGGGTGCCTTCATGGAACTACCTGTTTCGCATATGGGGTATTGGAATTAACCAGTCTTGACCTTGGTCAGTGCATGTCAGTGCCTCCGCTTTCATTTCACTTTTCAACCCTATGGAATGACTTCCCCAGCTGGGTTTCAACCACCTGAACAGATGGCCACTCCATTTCACCGCTGTTTTTTCAAATATGCACAACTTGATTTGTCCGGGGGACTGCTCAATGCGGACGCAGATGACCTCCAGGATCAGAGAGAATGAAGGGATGTGAGAAACACGTGACCGGACTGAGAGGTGAAGGGTGTCCCATGACTCCCATGACCTGTAACAGTTGGTATCTACAATCTATTTTAGAGACGTCGGCCTGCACCCGAACCATCATCCACTGGGCCCCATACAGTATGATGTACCCGACTGATAGGCCCAGCTCCAGACTCAGCATGGGTCCATCCACACCCATTTGCTGTTCAATCGCATCCGCATTGCGTGCAGAAGATTCTCTCTCTCTCTCTCTCTCCCTACATCATTCCTTCCACGTGAAAAGAGTGTGACAACATGTGAAAAGCATGTTCGTGACCCATTACTCCTAAAACCACATCAGTTGCATGTTCATCCGTAGTTATATATAATTATGTAGAAGTGCCAAAACAACATCAAGTGCACGTTCATTGTACCAAAAAATCATCAACACCATAACCCATCGCATGTTCATTATTCCAAAGTCCTAACACAACAGGACAAGAATTGCTCGTTCATCCTACCAAGTCCAAAAACCACATAGACAACATCATTTGCATGTCCGACAAAAACAAGTCTCAACATCACTTCAGTTATGCATAATTTGATGGACAAAAACAAGTCTCAAGACCACATCATTTGCACATAAGCAGTCTGCACACCTCATTCCTGTGTTCACTTTACGAAGCACAAGTGAAAGCCACATACAACATGTCCATCGTCATTTTAAGACAAAACGATCGTGACAACACATAAATTGCACATTTGTCTTGTCAATGTTGGTGAGCAGAGCACATTATTTGCACGTTCCTTCTCCAAAAGTAGCGGTGCTAACGGAATATTTATATGACTTGTACCTTCCATCAACGAAGCAAATCCGAGCACCGCATTACATCGTTTGCCTTTTCATGTTGCAAAAACAAGTTCTCACACACACACAACATCATTCGCACGTTCACGTTACAAACGTTTTACTTATATATATATACTCAATTTGCATGTTCTGTTCATTCTAAATCCCAAACAACAACCAAACAAACTATAACACACAATGCCACCACAACATCATTTGAACGTTCATTAAGAACATCAATTCATGCTGTATAAGTCCTAATACAACGTCATTTGCATGTTCACCCTACAAGAAGATCCGATCGTCATATTAGTTTTTGCATGTTCACTAGTACACAAGAAATCCTAACGCGGCATCATTTGCACATTCATCCTACCCAAAAGATTGAACAGGGCCCCTGTTCGCATGTTGATTCCGTAATGCCAGGAAAGTACTGTAAGCCCTATCATCATTTGGACGGTCGTCCTTATCATCTGCACCTCTGCAACACCCCCAGTGATGCCATACGCAAGTGACAGCCCAGGCGCTGGGCGCGACGGAACGCCGAGGCGACGCTGGATCCGGCGACGCAGACGTCCACGTCCTTGTCTCGTGAGGCGAGGGGGGACCTGGGACGTGGAATTGGCGGAAGAACAGAGATGGTTCTCTTAGAATCGATCAATGAGTTTCAATGGCAACTTTAACGTTGATATTTAATATATATGTTATCATCATTTAAGTGATAATCGATACTCTTATAACTTGGCAATATACCATTAATGTTCTCTTATAATCGATCTATGAGAAGAACATTCGGTATGTTTTGAATCATGTAGTATAGAACATCAGAGATATTGTGGTTATATCTTTGCAAGAATGTGGTTATTCAAAGTAGGATGATTGTTGGAAGTGGAACAACATGAAGTACAACTTCAGAGGCTCCCGGATGGGGGGAATATTTTGTTGAAGTCCCAGCAAAAACTATCCGAACGTTTCGGTTCCTGAAACCTCAACTGGGAGCCTTTCAGGACTGCCAATGCTCACCAGATCAAGAATCCAAAATGCTCACTCCCACTTCAGGATTTGTTTGCAGGATTTCTTGCATCCAGGTCCCAGAACATCCATGTATGGTAATAGTTGCATACATTTACCCCATGTATGACCCCAATGGGATGCTAACTATTCCAGCCCCATGGATGGTCTGGCGATGTTGGTGATTGTGTCTCACACACCAAACTCCATTGGTGGAGGCCGGACTGAGTGCCGATTGGCTGGACTTGGAGCGAGCCCTCAGCTGCTTCGACGCTGCTTGGGACGGAGCTTTGAAAACACGACGGAGCTTCGAAGCTGAAGTCAATCGAGTTAAAGTACCAGGTGCCCTAAGGAGTGATTCATGGACACCCCGAATCACCTTAGAGGTGCGACATGAGGTGGTCTCGTGGTGCTGGTAGTTGTCTCGTTCCTTTTGGACAGGACTCCCTTTTCGGATGGACTGATTTGAGATCACAAACTAACGGTTCACCGACCCAAACTGCCTTTTCAGTGCCAGGATGGATGTTAATTGCTATGAATTCAAATTAAATATTGTGAACTCCTTACATTGGCACGAGAAAGTTCCACTCCACAATGAATTCATCCACAAAAGTTCAGCGTGATTCTGGCAATTGTTCTTTGACGCCAGGCTGAGATTCAGAGCTTGAAAAGTCAAGCTGAGCACATCAAAAGTCATGCTGTGACAGCTCAAATTTGGCTCAGGAGGATTCTGCCATTCGCTGTTGGGGAAAGCTTTTTGTTGGCGTGCAGATTGTTTGTCATGCCGCCGCATCATATCCTACCGCACAGCATTGTTATCATGGTCCTGATTTGCATCCTCTCCAGCGGTTCGACTGTGGGAATTTGCTGGTTTTGTGGGCTCTGGCAAGCTGCAAGCACGCCCGGTCCTATCGTGCTCTTAACATTCGGTTCACTTCTCATGATGATTGTCTTCACAGTGGCTTTTCCTCTCGATCTTCTGTACAGTAAATTCAGAGGTGATGACAGCACGGATGATTATGACAACCATTTCTGTTTCCTTTATGATTCCACTCAACCAGGCCGATCCGTCTCAGTAGGATCCATTTACATCTTCGCACTGACCATGGGACTGTCCTGGTCCTGTCTCTCTGTGAGCCTCGCGTGGCTTTCTGAAACTCTTTGTCAAGATCGTCCTCGCTCTCCACTCGGCATGCGCACCGTGAAGTATATGGTCCTGGCGACGCTACTGAACACCGTTGGCATCCTGGTGGGATCGGAACGATCCGGGTGATCGGGGTTGCTTTTATAGAAGTTGATAAGTTGATAGCTGATAAGTTTATGGCTCATGTTAGTTGGTGTACAGGAGTTAGACCAGTTATAGATCGTTTTCCGTGATCGTTTTGGTGAACACGAACGACCACCCACCTCCCTTGACCTGTCATGTTCGCAGAGTCTGTTGCGACTCATCGTCCCATATGTTGGGGGCTTGGAAAACCAGGCCGACACCGGCCCGGAAGAGTAAAAAGTGGTCCATATTCCCGAGTGAATCCCCGTTTGGGAATTTCTTATATATATGTGTTCCATATGCTTTCTACCTATATAAAGCCGTGAATCCCTTGTCTGGGGAAATCGTTTGCATGTTTGTTTTAAAGGTTTTCCCAATTCCTTTGCGCCAAATCCTTCAGGTATGATCTTCCTCGAACAGGCGACCTGTGGCCGGCCTCAGTGGTGGTCAACGCTGGCCAGTGTGCCTCTGGGCTTGAATCCGCTCACGAACGTCCTGCTCAAGCGAATCATTCTTCAGATGACAGAGATACACGCAGGCAGGGACCGTACCCGATACATGCGCAAGACCACATATGCAGAGTTCATCGTTGGAATCATGGTGGTGATCATTGCCATTAGTGTAGCCGCGTGTGCTTCGAGCGGAGTGAGCATTTTGAATCCCGACTTTCTTCGCCCTGTTACAGTGGCCTTGACTCTCGCAATCCTTGTCCTTGTGGTCCTTGACGGTGTCTTTTCGTGGTCAGCATACACTGCTTTGCGCTCAGTTGTACGTGATGTGCGGATGGTTATGCCAGCGCAAGAGGCTGGCAGATTAAGCACCGCCATGGCAGTTGCAAGAGCAAACCTTTGCCTGGTGGTGCTGGCAGTGCTGGGCACCAGCCTTTTCTATGGCATGTTTGTGGTCGGTGGTGTTGCCTTCCTTCTCTTCTACCAGGCAGGACCTGTGCAACAAAATGAGGACTACTCGGACGCCCCATTTGCGCTTGCGCTTGTGCCGTTGGTGATCTGGTGTTTGGACAGCATTTTCAACGATGTGTGTGCTGTCTATTTGGGCTGCGGCCCCACTCAGGCCGCACTGGAGTTGGTGACACAAGCCAGCCAAGTGGATGCTGTGGGCATGCCAGTGGCAGACACCGTGTCAGGTCAAGTGCTAGGAGCATCGGTAGGATCCCTACCGAATGCTGTCGACACTGAGACATGGAGAGCTCACAAGTGAGGCATCTCCAAGCAAGACGGCCTTAGTCGGCCTCGGTAATTAGTTTCTTTTCTTTTAAGGCTTCCATCAATGGACCTCCGTTGTAAATCTATCTAAATCCGGTCCGCCAAGCTCTTCAGAGCTGAAGTCGGACATGGTTTGCCATGTGGGCTGGACCTCCGGCTGTAATTAGTGCGAAAGCTAGCGGGCTGCTAGCTAGATGGTATGCATCATGCTACAAATCGTTCAAAACGTGTGATGATTGCGCACTTGCAGGCAGGATGGAATGAACACAGGCTTTGAATGGCTGTCATCAACAAGTTGATGAGGTGAATGGTATCGTCAATTTCCGAATTCAAGGGTGAACATCTTACGTTGGCGCAAGAAGCTTCCATTGGTCAAAGTCTAAGAAGCCCGGTGGTTGGTCACTCCCCACCACTTCAGAATTCATTTGAGCACGATTCATACATGTGAGCCGTGTTTTAACCGAGTAGATGGCATAATCCCAAAAGGTGGTTTAGATGGTCCTTAAATCCATCTACTTGGGTGCCAGTGCCATCGAAACCACTATAATCGTTTGCATGTGATGGTAAGACCGATCAGCAGACTCCTTTGGTACAGTGCATGAATGTTGGGTTGGGCTGTTTCCAGTGGCCGTTTCCGCTTTTTCGGCCTTCTTTCGGCTCGAGCCATCGCTGGTTGTCGTCACACCACCGTGCCAATGGAGGAAGAGGCGTATCGCTCTGGGATGGGGATGGGATTTTTGCCACACGAACCGTCTGAGTAGCTTCACTGGGATGGACTGGATGATTTTTACTAGGTGAGTCGGGAAGCACTCCAACATTGGAGAGCTCAGCTAGTGACGATATATATATATATAAGGTATATAGATAATATATGTTGTGTGCTTTTTATATGTTGATTTAAACACCTGCAACGAGGCAATATTGTGCAACGATTCTCCAAAAATCAGATACCCCAAGAGAAGATGAAGGATGACCAAGAAAGCTAGGCCTCCCCTACAAGCTGAAGTCCGAAGCTGCGGGAATGGAAGATACGAGTTCCTCAAAATGCAGCTTGAGACTCTGCAGAAGTTGAAACAGGAATTTTTCCCAGGCCCCCCAAACCAACACCTTCGTTTAGCCTTTTTGATCTGTGCCATTCCGCAGGTGAGCTGGGGGGAGCATAAAGATGGAGATTTGGGAGCGATGCCATCCTGTAAGGATGATGAGTCACTCGGTGGATCAGTGGAGTGGAGGCAGTGGAGTTACAGAGATTTTCGGTAAAAAAATATACTGACATATCATAGTGAACAGTGAATTAATATGAAAATAGTGATCCATATGCTGTACTTCTTGTCAAAATCTGTGGAGATATGGGATCTCATTCGGAGTGGCTAAACAATGCACCGAGTGGCCACTCAGGTCCTGGTCTTTTCATGGTTCTTGGAAGAGATCAAGCAATGCCTGCTTTTTTAAAGAGTCGATGTTTTTTAATGATTAGAATGCAGTTTTCCAGGAATGAAATGAACCACAGAACTTGAGATGGGCGCATGGTCGAATTTTGGCAAATGGCTTTGCGTATACTTCAACATCATTGGTTGTTGGCCAGCTACTTTTGCCCCTATTGTGTTTGGCCAGTACTTAGGCAAGCATACTCGAATGTCCAAGAATTGTCGAAATAAACAATCTAACTCTGAAATGACATGATAAGCAAATGTTGTTGAATCTGCCGATATATTTCTCCCCACCCCCAAAGCAACGTTTAATTGAATATCGTAATATCGTGTAGTTACTTGGAGCATGTGTGAACACCCAACCAAGATCATACAGGGCAGATGACTTAATAAACCCTCTCAGACCTGAGTTCATTGACTCAAGTGATGTATATCAACAATTCTGCAAGCCAAAGTGGTCGTTATTGTATTTGTTGCATGGTCGTCAATGTGTAACCAAGATTGCAGTCTAATATTTGTTGTTGTTGTTGTTGTTGTTCTTGTTCTTGTTATGGTTGTTGTGGCTGTGGCTGTGGCTGTGGCTGTGGCTGTGGCTGTGGTTGTGGTTGTTGTTGTTGTTGTTGTTGTTGTTGTTGTTGTTGTTGTTTATTTTCCTGGTTCCATGTCATGCACACCTAGACTGCTTATACTATAGTGCATCATGATGCGTGCGACACGGAAGCGAAACAGACCCTGTTTGTTGCTTTGTGTCCGCACGGAAGCGAGCGACGCTCGTGTCAAGGAAGCTCTCCTACCGTCGCCTGCGCTTGTTGGGCCAGGGCTCCTTCGGTAAGGTACGGCAAAGCCAGTGGCGTTGAGAGTTCTCCTGGCAAGTGGTAACTGTCGCAGACTTCTAGGAACCTGGCAAGAGCTGGGAACCTGGCAACACAAGTGTAAGTGTCGTGATTTTTCTGTTTCATAGGGCTCGTCCGAAGTTCATTCCTGACGTCTTTCGACGACATTGGATCCGATCTCGATCGTTTCGCACGTCAGCGTAGAGCTGCTTGCTGCGCGCAGAGCATATCATGCAGAAGACCTCTTTGGCATTTATTTGGGTACGGGGAAATTGGATTGTTTGGGTCGTGTCCAAAGAGATCCAGTGCTTCGAAATGTGTATACAACTCCCAAGCTTGGCTTGCAAGTATGATACAAATCAACTATATTAATCTGATGATTAAGCTTAGCTTAGCTTAGAGCTTCTTTACCATGTCACATGATGCGTTCAGAGACCCTCGGAGACCCTCGGAAGACTCCGGGTTGATCGACGACGCCGTCTCCGTCGGCTCCGTTGCAAGGCCTTTTTGGCTCGGGATTTGTCGAACAACGAGCTGGTGGTCATGAAACAGGTCGACCGGGCAACCGGGCAACTGGTCGTGCTTTTCCTACGTCTTTTCTCTTGTGGCCATGTGGCTGGGGAGGAAACTATAAGTACCTAGAGAAGCAAAACACCAACAATTTGTAGGCTCCTGGATGAAGCATGGCTTTTTCTAGGGAAGAGATGGAAAATATTGTTTTTTCTGGAAAAATATTGTCTTTTTGGTAAAGCAACTGAAGAATAGCCCCGGCTACCACAAACAAACACCTGTCTCCCGGATCTTGCTGTCAGGTGAGTGCCGTGGGACCTTAATGGATCCGCAAGTCACCAATTGTCGAGCATTCTTCCGATTCTTCCCATCTGTTTTGGTCATTTAAATAGCCTTTTTGTGAATTTGGAGGGCGACTTGACTGAAAACAGAAGACGCCGCAGACGCCGTATTTATCCCGTACGGAGCTCGTACTTAACCCGTACTAACCCATATGGAACCCGTATGTTCGATCTGCTCCAAAAAACATTGTGTTTTGAAAGCCCATATTTAACCAGTACGGAACCCGTACTAACATACATACCCGTGCCGTACTAAAAATATGATAAAATATGTTGTTTTTTGCATCCCTGACAACCAGATGCCATTTGTGAGTTCTTGGGCTCGTAGCTGAAGGTTAAGGCTCACTCTTGATCCAGGTGAAAAGTGTTCTTGGTGAGGTCGACATTTGGTGACTTGTGTCCGAAATTCAGGTACGTGCCGTCAGATCCAAAACACACAACATGTGATTTTTGCTTTTAACAAATATGTATGTTTATGTTTTCTAATTGTATATATATATACATTCTTGGTATATCTTTTTTCCCTAGGTATACTTGAGACTCTCAAAACTTTGGATTTGTCACTTTTCACTCCGTTCAAGCACTTTGACAGCCATTGAACCGCCGTTCAAGCTCCCTGTCCTCTATTCGACTCATCCGAGATCCACCGACGCAGAAACTGTGTCGAGCTCCGGGGCTGCGGCTCCGGTAGCTCATCCTGACTGGTGCTTTGTAGGGACTGAGGGAATGGATCCTAAGGAATCTCTATTGGGGGCTCATTCCCCCCTACTATAAGCACCACTCCGCATCACGTCGTGTTGTTTTTTCGGCGTCAGGTGCGGGTGGAGAAGATGGATGCCAAGGCCGAAACCGCTGCCGAAACCGCCAGGGGCTGGGCTGCTGCTCCCAGCATTCGAATTCAATGAACTGCGGTTCGATTCATCCGTTCTTCATCGAAAGAGGTCGCCATCGGTCAGCAAGAACCTGTGACGAGCAGCCCCCTGACAGAGGCTATATATACCATGACAAGGTCACCAGGTTTTCGGACGGTTTTGACCCACAGTCCATGTCATCCTTTTTGTCTTCAAACATGATAAACTAGGCTTCTCAGCAAACTAGACTTCTCAGTCTCCTTAACCTCACTCGCTGGGTCTCGAAAGGTTGGGAGGAGACCGATTGAGTAAAACACCGAAGCAGCAAAGCCATGTGACATGGATTTCATCTATGTTCATCTCCAATTCCCCCACACTGTCTTGATTCTTCCGAAATGCGACGTGTGTGTTGTTTTTTGGGAAGCGGTGTGGACTGAACATGCGCGCCTCTCCGGCGCATGTCCACTTCTTTTCGAGGACGTCACGTAAAAAGATCGGCGCCCCATTACGTCATGTTTGGGAGACTCACGCTTCCTTGATGTTACTCTAATAAGGCTAGAGTTGATGTTACTCTAATAATGTCACTCTTCCTTGATGTTTGATTATTCCAGACTAGTCTAATAATTAGACTCTAATTTTAAAGTGGTTGGTTTTGTGCCTAGTGCACATGTCGTCTCCCCAGAGTTCCAGGATCCCCGTGCCCTCATGGCACTCATGATCGTCCCAACCTTGTGTCCAAAGACTCATACCGACTCATACCCAAAAAATTAATTATCACAACCGCGGGCAAGTGGTCATCAAATGTTTTTCCAATCAGCTTCCTACAATGCTTAATTTGATTTAATGTGTGTTTTCCTTCTAAATAGAATCAAGAACATTGACAAGCATTCACATTCAAAATCATGAAGTTATTAGAGGTTAAAGAAGTTTATAGACCCCATTGTTTGACATATAAGCTGGTGATGGTCCTTGGCGAGTCCACGAATCAATTCACCGATGGGGCACAGTCAGCGGCTCGCCTGGGATGGGC